ACTATTATAACAATAGTGATACAACGAAAACTACTGACGATAACCACAATAGCGGCAAAAGTGATATTTGTATTGGGTGACCGCCTGGGAACATCAGATGCTGTTGGCATTTTGTCATACATGCTAAATGTGTTGGGCATTTCTTTATCAATTTCTGCAACTCTTTTTTCTTTTTTTCTTTTTTTAATCTTTTAATTTATATCATGATAAGGTGTATAAAAGTGGCAAACGGTTGCGGTATTAATGCCAACGATCATACCACGTTGAAAGCACCGCTTCTCGTCCGATCAGCGAAGTTAAGCAACGTTGGGTCTGGTCAGTACTTGGATGGGTGACCGCCTGGGAACACCAGATGCTGTTGGCATTTTATCATACAGGCTAAATATATTATGCATTTCTTTATCACTTTAGCAACTCCTTTTATATCTGTATAGATAATTCAATAGAAATTATATTCCAATCATACGAAATTGGGTAAAAGTCAACGCCGTTGGATTGAGAGGGAGGGACAAACAGAAACCGTACAGGGGGCATAACTGAAGTAATCTATATGAAATAGAGTAAAGGTTCACAACAGCTCGTCCTATAAGTGTATTAAGAAATCATTGGAAATTACGCTCAAGTATATAGGAAAACAGAAAAGTAGTATAATCCACAATGATTTTGTTAATGACAGTAATCACCATATGCTATTAATAACAATGATGGTGAGAATAATTATGAAAATAGTATTAATAATCATACTGATACAAATACAACTATTTAAAAATACTGATGACAACAACAATAGGAGCACAATAGCGATATTTCTTTTTACATAGTTGCTTAAGAAAAATAACGAAAGTAGAGTTAAAATTAGCAATACTCCCGATTGTGGTAGATTGATTTCTTGCAGATCTCAGTGATATAACTAGAATGTCATGGTAATTAAGTTTGATGCAAAAGTAAAATCTACATTATATTAGAATGAATAAAGGTATGAGTAACGAGAGAAAAAAATACTAACGTTTTTTCTCCCTGTGCCAACGATCATACCACGTTGAGAGCACCGCTTCTCGTCCGATCAGCGAAGTTAAGCAACGTTGGGTCTGGTCAGTACTTGGATGGGTGACCGCCTGGGAACACCAGATGCTGTTGGCACTTTCTTATATGTGCTAATATGTTATGCATATCTTTAGCACTTTTAACAGCTCATATCTGTTCGATTGAAATTATACTTTAATCTATACGAAATAGAGTCAATGGGGTCGGATTTATAGAGAAGGATAAACAGAAAACAGATAGGGATATAACTAAAGTAAAGTGATAATGATTGTGTTATCAACAAGTAGTAATGACGTATACAAAAAAATCAGTAAGAATGAAATCACCATAGTAATGATATCAATTGATAATAATTATATATATATATATATATATATATATATATTTGGCAGCAGTTTTGAAGCTTTGGTTCTGTACCATTCCTTGTAGACTTCCAGAGCCGGAAATGATAAGAAAGACTGTTATCTGTGTATGATTTTATTAACCAGTGAACCCAAGTGAGATTCCCTTCCCTTAACAGTCGGCCTTTGTAACTGGTGAATGTAGGTGTAAGTGAAAGGCAAGTAATAGGTATTTGCTATAAAGTCAAAGACTAAAGGAAAAGTGAATTGTACATGGGTATTGCCATAATAACACAGATTGCGATTTCTTTCCCTAACAGCCATACCACCTTGAAGTCAGCGCTTCTCGTCCGATCAGTGAAATTTAAAATAGTTATGTCTAGTCAGTACTTGGAGGGGTGACCACCTGGGAAAACCAGATGTTATTCTATTATACATGCTAAATATGTTATGAATTTCTTAAGAGTTTCCGCCCCAGATAAAGCAGTTATACAAAATGTTAAATGCTAATATTCCAAACGAAAACTTGCACAATAGGAAACTACATATTAAGTGACAGAAAGCTCGAGAGCATGTCCACGACCTTAATATATTTTCCTAGTCCGTAACTGGTTCTGTTGTAATTATTATTGCGATCATCAGTTGGCCATAATCATAAAGACTGTTGTCTTTTCTTACAATGATCACGATCATTAATTTTATCTAACAGATAACTTATTACCTTTTGTGGTAGCATCACAAGTTACAATAATTATCTGTATTCCTACTACTTAATTTTCATTCAAATTATCATCATTAATATTATCACCAGTAGTATTGATATAATCATTTATGACTTTCAATAATCATTATAGGTGATGGTGATAATGATATGAATCTATCGTGTACCTTCATTGCTATTATACCTTGTATAAGATGACCATATTCCTGAATTGTACAATACATATTTATTGGTGAACCGTTCGTTTGATAAAATTACTAGAAATAATAATTATACAAATACAATTACTGATAATATCACCAAAATTGCAACACAGTAACAACAAGAAGTTATTTGAAAGCACTCAAGATTCAGTAATATTCAGAATTTCTGTTTATGATTATCTACATTATAGATGCATGTGTACACAGATTTATAACCGTAAACAATATCATTATATTTAATATTTCATGCAATACTTGTACACCCTGCATTCTTTACAGAGTTGCACAACTTGAAAATTAGTAAAAGGCTTACGTATAGGCAAATGAGTTAGAATTGCCCTTACTCCGATAGTGATGATTGATGACTGGAATGTCATTATAATGAAGTTTGATGAAAAAAAAAAATAATAACAAAAGATACATATTAATATGTATGAAAAATCAGTAAGCACTGACATAAAGTTGGCTAATGTTACTTAACCATATGCCAACGATCATACCACGTTGAAAGCACCGCTTCTCGTCCGATCAGCGAAGTTAAGCAACGTAGGGTCTGGTCAGTACTTGGATGGGTGACCGCCTGGGAACACCAGATGCTGTTGGCATTTTCTTAAAATTACTAAATATGTTTTTGCCTTTTTACACAATTTATATCAGCTCTTCTTAGATTTGTATAAAGAACTCAGTTGAAATTACAATTCAATCAATGGGAAATAGAGTAAAAGTCATCGGAAAGATTGAAAAATTTAAACAGAAAACGGAGAGGATGAATCCTAGAGGTAACTGAAGTAAACGTAATTCTTTCATAAATTTCTGATGCTAATCAGATTTTGTTTTAGAAAGAAAAAAATTATTGAAGCTGTAACAATAATAGTTGTGTTAGGAGCAATCATTGCCAATGATATCTAAAAAAAAATAATAAGAAGAAGAAGAACAAAATGATTGTAATAAAGATATCAGTCTTACAAAAGAGATAAAAAAAAAAAAAAAATCTCGATTAACTTTTACTATGTTTTGCAGAAGTTTTGAAGCTTTAGTTCGGTCTTCTAGTGCCGAAAAAACGGTAAAAAATGATTGTGTCGTTTGTGCATAATCTTAGTAGCCAAATGTATGTAGTGACAACTAAGTTGGAATTGCCCACAGTGCCGATAGTGTTCAATTGTTGCATATATTGTGGAGATCTCAGTGGTATAATAAAATGTCACGGCAATGAAGTTTGAATGAACGTCCCTTTGCCAACGATCATATCACGTTGAAAGCACCGCTTCTCGTCCGCTCACTTATCTTAATATGTAGTTTCCTATTGTGAAAGTTTTTGTATGGAATATTTTCATTTACAATATCCACATTTACTTTATCTGGAGACTGGGCAAATGTTGCTATGCTGTATGTGAGTTTGTGCTTTTTAACCTGTAAAGGCATTGCAGTACCTCCGGAATTGGTCCACTCCCTGTGGGGGGAATAGCACTCCAATATATCAAATCAATTTTTATTATTTGCGGGATATCAAAGTCCACTCTGTAAATAGAAGCAGGTGACGCTTTACGGCATTCCTCCACCGTTGTCAGGAATCGACCAGTTAATACTTTTTGGGATTACATTATGTCTGTCGTGTTATTTCTATAACACAAGTACCTCTAGATTAATTTCTCATAATCAAGACAAACTAATGAACTATATGAACTCAGTGTCAAAAGTTTATTATCAATATCACTATCATCTCAAATTAGGCGTCTGTAAATGCCAAATATTTTTTCTACTCTGGTACATCGATACATTTCCATGGCAAAATTATAAGAGACCGATTCTTTGCATTAGTATATATATGTATGTATGCATACATATATAGCTTTACATTGCTCTGATCGAATTTGTCGTGAAATGGCAATGGAAAGGATTACCCTTCAAAATACTTATAATTTTGCCCAATAACCTTCCATATAGCTTAAAAGAATGGTAAAATGTTTTGTTGATGCCAATACAAAGACTACCATTGAACCGAGATTTTCCTCTGCATTTGAGTACTTTAAAACATTTATGAAACACATAAATATCCTCAAACGAGTTATCTGTAAAACGTCCAATGGGCTAGTTTGACAAACTAGCGAAATATGTGAAAGTAAGAACATTAAAGAGCTGACTAGATGGGCAAATGGATCCTGAACAACCTATTAAAATGAAATGTTGTAAGGGGGATAGCGCGAACGCAGTCCCCCGCTAACAAAAATTGCGCACTCGAGTTAACCACATTTGGGTTAATCGCAGGGGTCAGCGCCACCGGAGTGCAATGGTGAGCCTCGCCCTGGGAGAACCGCCTTCGTGATCACGGTATCTCCTGTGCCAGGTAAGTATGCTCTCCTAACCCACAAGCCGACCCACGCTCGCTCACACTGAGAACACCACGTGCTACACACAAGTTTATGCAAGTAGCAGCTTGACTTTTGTTTAATGGGGGGAATCTGTATGGATTTAGGTCCAAATTAAATTATAGTTTTACCTATTACGTTAAATCCAAATCTGATTATTTGAAATTTATCCGCACACTTAATTTTACAACTTGGAAACCGTTTGTTAGCTCCTTGTTAATTACAAATTATTCTTGTTCTAAAATTATGTGTGGATTTAATTTCAAATACGTTAAATTCGGATTCTACGCAATTCCTAAAAATAAAATATAATTCACAATATAGTTGTTTCACGGGTCACCAGAAATAATACGGCTTGTCATAATGGTTTATGATTTATTTCGACCTGCAATAAACATTAACACACAAATAACAAAAATCTTATAACATGGGCACAACAAATGAAACAAATACCAAATCACTCATATGAATTTCCAAGAAAAATAAAATTATGTCAAAATATTAATGCAAATTATAAAGAAATCAAACTTACAACATTGCCTCATCTGGTGAGCGTGAAGTGTTATCCCTGTTTTCCACTTAGAACAGAAGATCTCTTTTTTGGGAATATGCTTATCTGCTTCTAAAGATGCTAAATACAATTCTAGCATCCCAAAACAACAAGAAAATAAAACTGCAACTTATAATACAACTTCAAAAACATAATATGGATCTTTGTTTATGACTCAAAATTCCCATGCGTTACCTCTATTTCCCATCATGCTCAGCACATAAAAAAAACAGAAATTGGACATGCGTGATAAAATAACAAAAAAGGAATAAATTATCATTAGTTAATACAAACTAATGATACACTCCCCCACACAATCATTGTTCTTCCACCGGTAATAATACAACCAGCTTGTGGACTGATCTTCTAATGATAGTATCAGACTGACCTTTGTACTCTTTACCTGGTTTCTGCACTTTATATCTAATACTCACATCCCGAACTTTAGTGTCTCTTCCCTTTTCTACTTTTACAACTTGTCCCATTTTCCATTTTCCTTTAACTGTATTAGAATCTTGTATCAACACAATATCACCAGACTGCAGATTTCTTTTATCAGTATGCCATTTTTGTCTAACAATTAATGTAGGGAAATAATCTCTTTGCCATTTACGCCAAAATGTATTAACAACATTTTGTATATAATCTAACCTTCTCTTTGTATTGAAAGAATCTTTCCATGGTCCACATGGTGCATGATTACTTGCCCTGCCTAAAAGCAAATCATTTGGGCACAAGTAAGTTCCTAATTCTAAATCCATACCAGGTTTTAATCCAATAGGCCTTTCATTCATGAGGTTTGCTATTTCAAAAAATATAGTTTGTAGACCACTATATGTCATCAGAGTAGATCCAATTATCATGGCTAAGGATCTTTTCACAGATTTGATCAAGGACTCACTAACACCATTTTGCCATGCTGCATCAGCTGAACGGTTGAAAATCCATTTTAATCCCCCTTTTGTTCCAAATTCAGAAATATCAGACATATTCCAGTTATTTATAGCTATTTGAAGTTCCTTACTAGCTGATACCAGTTGAGAGCCTAAGTCTGAATGAACAGTAGCTGGATATCCATGGACAGCTGTGAAACGTCTAAAAGTCTTCAAGAAACTATGGGTATCATATCCATCAACAACATCAATATATACAGCACGAGTAACCATGCAATTAAATATAACACCATAAGCTTTACCAGTAGTTCTTTTCTTCACATTGTCTCTTATTTGAAATGGCCCAAAGATATCTGTAGCAGTGTGATAGAAAGCTGGACATGGAGTTATTCTTTCAGTAGCGACTTGACCCATGCACTGACCTTCAACTTTGTAATCTAATCTCCTACAAGTAACACATTTACGTTTCACTGCTCTGATGACTTTACGTGCTGAAGGAACCCAGAACTTTGTCTGCAGTTTACTAAGTGTAACATCCACTCCAGCATGATCTATATTATGCAAATGACTAATATAAAGTATAGTAAACAAATGTTTCCTGGGTAACAGGATAAAGTTATCTTGATTCCAATTTTGTTTTAACCAATGCTCCAGTCTTTGACCTACCATAATTATACCATTTTCAGTCTTGTATGGTCCCAATCTTTGATATTTCTGTTTCCAATTACCAGAAAAACATTTTTGTGCTTGCCTGATCCAAAATTGTAATGCTTCATTTAGAATATCAGGTTCAAGTCTTAATAAGATACCCTTTAAAGATCTGATCTTCATTACATTTAATATCCTACCAGTAACTGCAATAAGTTTATTGTAATTTTTGAACTTAGATAAATCAATAACACATTCATCTGAGTCCTTCAGACAGTGTGTTAAATTCACATGGACTCTATCAGGCAAGTCACATTCAATAGATTGACTTATTGGCCACTCTTCTTTGGGTAGAGTCATGAATTTTGGGCCATACTTCCACAATGAACTGATGATAATATCTGATGGATCATTAGGTCTAGTAAGTAAATCTGCAGGATTGTGACAAGAAGCAATCCACCACCATTCATTGGGATTACTCTTCGATTGTACTTCTGCTACCCGTGTTGCTACAAAAGTCCCAAATCCATACGACTCCTTTTGGATCTGTGCTCTCACAATAGCCGAGTCTGTTATATGCATTACTGAACTAAATCTATATGATAATTCATTTTCGATTAATTTGCGTAGTCTGCATGAAATAATTGCTCCACACAATTCAAGTCTGGGTATGGAAAGTTGTCTGGTAGGAGCTATTCTTCCTTTTGCCATTATTAGCTTACTTTCAAACATTCCAGATTTCATTTTCCATCTAGCATAAGCCACAGCACCATATGCATTTGATGAACTATCACTAAAAATAACAAGCATAGGCAGACCTATTGCTGTGGGTGGTTTGATACATCTTTCAAATGACAAGGAATCAATCCCAAATAATTTGTGAAAGTGTACTACCCATTGCTCTTTCATATGGGCAGGCAAAGGGTCATCCCATCCTAACTTGGTGCTGCAACTGACAGTTTCCCGTAATAATATTTTGGCTTTCAATGTGTATGGAAGAAGTAAACCTAGTGGGTCATACACAGAACACATCTGACTTATAACAATTCTCTTAGTTAAAACTGGAGGAATGTTACAAATAAAATTTGAAAATTTTAAATCTGGACCTGTTCGTATACCCTTATATTTAGGAGAAAAATTCAACCTTGCTTTGAATTTAAATTCATCATTCCAACGATCCCAATATAAACCAAGAATTTTATCGCCTTCATTCTCTGAAAAATCTAGATCATCCTTATCAACATCACCAGTCATAATCCACTGCTTTACCTTAAAATTGCCATATGAGAGTATTTTCTCAGTTTCCTGAATCAACTGCAAAGCTTTCTCTTTACTCTCAACTGATTGTATAATATCATCAACATAAGAATTTGATATTATCATAGAAGCAGCATCGGGATACTTTTCCATCCATAGCTCAGCTGTGTGTTTAAGAGCCAACATAGCAATTATTCCAGAAGGTTTGTCACCAAAGCCCATTGAAGTTAACACATAATGCTCAGGCTCACAATTCAACTGGAAATCTCTCCAAACAAATCTGCGTACATGTTGCTCCATTTCAGGAAGCTTAATACTGTTGTACATCTTACTTATATCACCTGCTATACCTATGGCTCCTTCACGGAATCTCAGTAATATGCCCACCATGGAATTCAAAACATCAGGACCCTTGGCCCAAAAGCTATTTAGAGATTGTCCCATGAATTTGGCAGAGGAATTAAAGACAATCCTAATTGGTGTGGATGTAGATCCTGGCTTTAGCACTTCATGATGTTGAAGATATGTAATAGGACCAGCATAACCTTTTATTTCATCTGGTGTTAATTTACGTGCAACATCACGTTTGATCATATCCCTTATTTGGTTGTTATAAGCTTTAGCATATTCTGGTCCAAGTTTCAGCAATCTCTTCTCAGTACTCCTTAATTTGGCAACAGCAACAGAGATATTATTCTGTAATAAATTAGGGTCTTTAACCCATGGGAATTTAGCGGACCATTGTTTTTTTCTGAATCATATTGTAATCCTTTTTCAATTAAGGCTAACTCTCTCTCTCCTCTAATACTATAGTCATTGTTACCCACTGCACATTTGCCACATTTGCAATCACCACATCTAGGATTACATTCTGTTCCTAAATATTCCACTGTGAAAAATTTATCAATCTGATCCTTAATATCAGATTTCGGTTCAACAGTTATATCTTTGTCATATATAATCCCAGAAATATGGTTTATTCTGATGCCTACAATATCCCTAGTACCTGAGGCACAAGCTATACTAGGGTGACTACCACGAACACACATCCCAAATCGAGATTCCATAAGTTGTAAATTTTCACCTACAGTTTCTTTAACTGTAGGGATTAGAGAGCAATAGTCAGCACCTATCAGTAAATCTATCTTACCATGAGGTCTATCCAATTGGCATACATCAGTACTCTTAAATAAATGCTTCACATGTGACAGATTAACCTTGTTTATACATGATGTTATTTCATCTATACCATAAGCAGTAATATTCACATTATTCCCCTGTTTATCAGTAAGAACAAGGTCATATTCCTTACTGTTATATGTTACAGTCTGGTTTCCTAGTTTAGTCACAGCTAAGCGTATATGCTTGCCTTTCAATCCTAATGAGGCTGCCATATCATTTCGTATCATTGTCACGTCAGCCCCAGAATCAAAGAGTGTATTTAATACTTGATTATTACATTTAATCTTATTGACCATGAACATGACTCCATTTCTTTTCAAGCTGACGTATGAACTCCCAACAATCTGATTTTCATGAAGGCTCGTGTGATGGAGCTTCCACAAGTTTGATTATTTGCATCAGTTGCAGAACATCTTGATTTTTTAAAACATCTCCTAGATACATGATTTCCCTTTAGACAATTAAACAGATACCTCTTTTCCTTAGAATTTCAAATTTCTCACTATTGTTTAACTTCTGAAATGTTGCACAGTCTAAAATATCATGTCCATCTGTTCCATGATACCAACACCTGTTCAAATGTGTACTTAGAGTACCAATAGACCTCTTTTCTTCACTCTTTTCTTCTGTAAGCTTGATCACAAGGTTATTTATATTTGTTACAGCCTTCTCAACATCAGACAGCCTCTTCATTATTTCTGATTCTTCAGTATGGTCAGAGCTAATCCTATCTTGATTGTACACAGCATAGTTCACTCTAGCTTTAGTGTTAACAGGGTTCCTTACACTGGCAATCAGATACTTAAGGGATTTCCTTTCACCCAAAAGGTATTCCAGTAGTTTTTTAAATAATTCAACAGGTTCAACATTTTCTGCTATTTTGATCCATTCCCGCTTCTGAGTTGGAGGCAAGAGTTTCTCTATCTGACTTGTCATATTGGCAGTATTAAGTTCTGAAGATAGACCCAACTGATCTAGATAAAGAAAATTTTGCTCAATTTTGTCTACCATTCTGATAAAACCTAAACTATCACCCTCGACTACAGGTTCAATTTCTCTCAAATCTTCAATTACTACATCAATTACTCGTCGACTATCACTGTACATGTCATCTAACCGTGCAAACATTTTATCAAAATCATGCTCGACCCCACAAATAGAGTCTAAGGCTTCTCCTGAGAGACACTGTCTAAGAGCAAATGGGTCTTTTCCATAGTTGGGTTGCATAAGTCTGACATAATCCCTTTTAAAATTACTATAGTCTCTGATTTTTCCATCAAACTTTGGAATGTCAATAGATTTTACTTTGATGGCCCCTTTCATTTGCATCTCATCTTTAATCTTTACAAACAAAACATGGGCAGCACATTTCTTATCGTCAAGTTCCTTAATGTAAATGTCTGCAGACTTTAATTCTTGAGTATCACTAGTTTCATCAAGTAAATTGCAATAACTTTCATTTGCTAGTTCAACTTCCTCAAAAGCTTTAACAATCAAATTATAGTTATCTTCCAATATTTCTAAGGCAACTTTATCTTTCACATGCTCATAAAACTTTTCTAGCTTACGTGTTAACTTTGCTTTGGCAGTTCCTCTATGCTGCTTAGCCCTTTTTGACTGATTCTTCATCCAACCGTCTACCGAAGCAGCAGAGCCCTCCATGCTGCCGTGCTGAGGCTCCTCGTCGCTGAGCCCCATCCTGAGTGTTGTCGAAATGTTTCACGGGTCACCAGAAATAATACGGCTTGTCATAATGGTTTATGATTTATTTCGACCTGCAATAAACATTAACACACAAATAACAAAAATCTTATAACATGGGCACAACAAATGAAACAAATACCAAATCACTCATATGAATTTCCAAGAAAAATAAAATTATGTCAAAATATTAATGCAAATTATAAAGAAATCAAACTTACAACATTGCCTCATCTGGTGAGCGTGAAGTGTTATCCCTGTTTTCCACTTAGAACAGAAGATCTCTTTTTTGGGAATATGCTTATCTGCTTCTAAGATGCTAAATACAATTCTAGCATCCCAAAACAACAAGAAAATAAAACTGCAACTTATAATACAACTTCAAAAACATAATATGGATCTTTGTTATGACTCAAAATTCCCATGCGTTACCTCTATTTCCCATCATGCTCAGCACATAAAAAAAACAGAAATTGGACATGCGTGATAAAATAACAAAAAAGGAATAAATTATCATTAGTTAATACAAACTAATGATACAATAGTATTAATTAAAAAGTTGAACATTTAATTTTCGACATTTATATACCCCTTCGACCTATATTTTCATTGCTGTTACTCTTCCATATCAAGAAATGTATAAATTGTAAAGAGCTTTATAAGGAAACAGGTACATGTAATGTTCTTTTAGAACTAACTTTAGAATTTAGAAAACATACTTTCTCTACGCACCACTCAAATCCTCGTTTGTTCACATGCATACAATATACACATGAATGCGTATGCGTGCGTTCGCACACATATAAGACTCAAAATTGATGTTTCACAGAGCACATGGATATAATTCAGTTAGAGAATTAATTACATTACAACAATCACATGCAAACTTTAATCTTATTTAGAGGATAGTTAGTGATGAGTTCTACATTCTCATTTAAAGAAAACGTATAAACTTCATTGGCGTACACTTAATTAAAGGCAACTGTCTCAATATATCACAATTTATACACAAC